AGTTTAAAGGCTGTAATTAGTTAATATTGATAGTTGAAATGCTTATGCTTTACAATTAATATAATTGCACTCGTTTTTTATTTAAGATGTAAAAATTAATTTTTCAACTTTTTCTTATACAAACATTCCTAGGAATCCAAATTTTAAAATGGTGTATAGAAATGTTTATTTTAATTCATATAATAATGACCCATTAATAATTTATATATAATATTTATTTATATAAAAAATATATGATTAAAGAGAAATTTATAATAATTATTTTTGGTTCTTTATAAATAATATTTAGAATATATTATTAGGTCTTAAGCAAATGTAGATTTTAACTTTTTAAATTAGAATATTTTTTTAAAAAATATTTTTCATTTCAATGAAGTAGAGTTTAGAATATTTAATTTTTATTTAGAAAATTTGTATTTAATTTTTATAATATAATGTTGTGTCCAGGTTCAAATTCCCCAAAACGGGTCATCATTGAGAAACAATAAAACCTAATGTGGCATTTTCAATAACTCTTACCTCTCATTTTTGCCGACGGAAGCAAAGAAGCAGAGGGCTTTCAACCCAACTTCAATTTCCAGGTTATTATTAGCCTCCATTAACTTTTACATTCTTGTAATTTTCACCAAGATTGGACTGTAACTTACCATAGTCATTGCAATTAAGGGTTGTCTTGGTCGGGTGGTTACTTGTTCAAACTTTTGCTTCGTCATTCAAGAAAGTTGAATGTTAAACAAACTGCGACCACATACCGGCGCATACTGTATCCCACTATCCACGTAGTTCTTTATTTTTTCGTATTTTCATAGCCCATCTTCGATATTGTTCGTTGCTCAACTTCAGGTCGTTTTTTATTTTTTCACGCGTGAGTGTATCCCAATTACACGATCATTGACCCTGGGACCGTTCGCTTTGGACCAGGTAAATGTCAAAATGGGCTTACCCTGTTTTGTGATATTGTTGTACGCGATCTGTCGATTGGTTTCGGAGGCTGGCTTAATGATTTAGAGGGAGTTTGTTGGGCAACCTTTTGCATCTCAATAACCTGGATCCTTTTCCCCGACAGCTGCTGAACCTCTGACCTTACGTTTCGAAATTCGCTTTACCTTGGACTTAGGCTTCATGATCCAAGCTGCAAATACTGATGTTCTTTTAGTTATTTGTGTTATTTCTGACCAACTTCCAAATAACCCGTTGCAGCATGTTTTTGAGGATATTACCAAGCTTTTGTTAACCTTGAATTGTGGTGTCTGTGGTCACGTTGATAGAACAAATAATTTATGTGGTTGCTCATAACATAGATAAATGGGCTTTAGAGACGATGGATTCTTTTCTGTGGAAGGATTCTATGTCGTCTTTTTTTCTTTTCCTTCTTTCGTATGCATCGGTTTCATGACTTTTGTTGAATGAATCTAGATATTTAATTTGAAAAAAAAAACACATATAGACGAGTTTTTTGCACAATTAGCCCTATAGATTACTGACCATTGGATTCTCTTAGGCCACATTTGGTTGGGAAGATTAGATAGGATAAGCACTTTTATCCTGAATAATCCTATGTTTGTTTGCTATGATTGTGGCCTGCAATAAAGTGGTCGGCCCGCTATAAATATGGCACAATCCTAAGTATGCCGGATTAAGTAATCTTCCCTTGGACCCGAAGATCCAATTTATCTGGATATTTTGAAATAGATGAATTGACTATTTTAGCCCTCAAAAAGGCAATAGATACCACACCACAGATCTACGATCGGGAATCATGTTGCAATCGACCTCTATGAAACTCTCCTCAACCCAGGTATACTGTCGTCCCTTCCACCTGAATCCTTCGTTATTTTCCATTTTTTTTTCCACAGATTTGTGTGTGTTGTTGTGTGCATTGTAATGTTCGGTCATTTCATTATTTTCTTTTTTACCGTTCATATGTTTTCAAACCCTAACCCTAAACACAACATTACTCTTTTGAATCATCGAATGTTGTACGGAAGTGGCCTACGATATTGAACGAAACTAAATCGTTGGTCCTGTTTGCGCAGCGGCACAACAAGTTCTCCAGAGTTCCATCATCGACGAATCTGGTGGGCTCATTTGTCCCTGATGCTACGTTGCAAACAATTGTTGTTTGAAAATTTTAGATACTGCTATATTAGACAGATTATAGATATCTCCACACTTTGATATTTTAAACTGAAAAGTCATGCCCAATTACACTGTCGGGCCATAATACAGGGAAATAGTATCCACTATTTTTTTTTTAGTAAAGTACTAATGCAGTTATGGATTAATGTTGAGAAGTTCTATTTTTGTCCTTTGGTTTTTCAATTGAAGTATGATTTATGTTGACAATGATGAGTTCATAACGTTTTGGTAAGCTCACGAACTTGAGTACATACATAAATAATTTTCTTTAATATTTACAAGAATGGTTGGCGAAAGAATGTCTATGTGGAGTTACAGTAATGTGGTGTGGATCCTTTATATACCTATGCTTGACTTCATTCCTCATGTGAAAATAACATACCACACTACACAGATTGTAGCAAGTGGGGTGGACATGATGTAAACACTTTTTAGAAATTGCATTACAACATGCTCTCTTCCATACGATTCTTTAATGACCCCTATTCATTAGTGACTAATATGTACAACCTTTTATTGTTTGTAATATTCAATGTTTGTTGCAGGTGACATGGCTTGAAGAACTCCACAATTTATAAATCCATAACATCTACCTTTGGTAATAATTATGCTCTCTGTTATATATTATTATGCTTATTATTCGAGCAGAGACCAAATATGTCCTCCATATTATTGTTGTGCATGTATCATAGATTAATTCATTTTTATGTTTGTTACTTATTTATTTGTGAACTTGTTTTCTATTCAGTGTAGGACTGGGTTAGAGTGTAATTGCTTAATTTTCTCCCGATTATTGTTATATTCTGCAATGAATAAATATGTTTGCCTTCCTTGCCATAAATGCCCAACCAATGATTAGATTACGGAAGGATGAATCTCGAAACCCACGAAGCGGAGGCTATATCTTTCATGGAAGAAATCCAGAATGTGTTCAAGATTGTTTTCTTGTTTGCGTACATTTACTTAAGAATGGTAGTTCATCCAAGTAATCGCCGTACAATTACGCGTCGTTCGCACCGAACAACATACCGAATGGCAGATCGGCTTCCTAGGCAGATAGAGCACATGAAGCAGTTAATAGATATTAGCAATGAAACATGTGTTCAACAACTTCGAATGGACCGAGATGCCTTTGGTAGGTTATGCTATTTATTGGAACACGTTGGTTGACTACAAAAAACAAGAAATGTTATAATAAGTGAACAAGTTGCAATCTTCTTGAGTGTCTTAGCCCACCATAAAAAAAATGTAGTCGTAAAGTTTGATTTTAGAAGGTTGGAACAAACAATTAGTAAATTATTCCATAATGTACTTCGTGCTGCCCTTCGACTATACCCGCTTCTTCTTGTACAACCAAGCCCTGTGGATGATTCCTGCACTGATTGGAGATGGAAATGGTTTAGGGTGATGCTTTAATACTCTCCAAATTTATGTATTTCAGTTTTTTGGTCATTTAATTGGTTTCTTAATATATGAATTTTACTCATGTACAGGGATGCTTAGGTGCACTTGATGGTACACATATACCTGTTCGTGTTCCTTCACACATGCACGGTCAGTATTGAAATCGAAAAACTTCCATTTGCGTAAATGTTCTTAGTGTATGTAATCGAGAAATGAATTTCTCATACGTACTAACTGGTTGGGGGTCCGCGGCAGACAGTCGTGTCCTACGAGATGCTGTGCACATGAATGGAGGGTTGCGTGTACCCATCGGTAAAATTTTAAATTAAGTATTATGTTAAGTAAACCCAACATTTCCAGTTTATGTTATAAACAAATAGTCTAAATATTAGTAAGTTAAAAAATAAGATATTTATTGGTCATTGTTTGTGTGTGCCAAAAACAGGTAATTATTACCTTTGCGATGGTGATTACCCAAATGGGCCTGGATTTCTTGCTCCTTATAGAGGTGTGAGATATCATTTAGATGAATTTGGTGATGGCAATCGTGCGCCTATAAATTATCGAGAATTGTTAAACTTAAGACATGCTAGGGCACGAAATGTGATAGAGCGGTCATTTGGTGTTTTGAAGATGCGGTGGGTCGTCCTTAGGAGCAAAGCATTTTTCAGTATAGACACGCAGAATAAAATAATACTTGCCTGTTGCTTACTTCAAAATTACATCAGTGCATCTATGATTGTCGACCCGATGGAATCTGATGGAGAATCTTTTGTGAGTCAATCCCAAAACCATAGTGGTGAAGATCCCCCTGAATATGTAGATGTTGTAGATCCCACTCCGGAATTTTCAAATTGGAGGGATGCCATGGCGATATCTATGTTTAATGAATAGCAATGCGAAAATTGATTAAATATTCATTTTGTTATATTGACAATTAGTATGTTTGAAGTATTTGTTGAACTGTTTTATATGAGTGTATTATACTTTTTATATTTTTCCTGTTTGTCGCAATACAAATTTATGCAGACATAACCTTGTTACTTTCTTATTTGGTAATGCTCTACTTACTTGTACTCACAGTAATCTTACATGTACCTTAGGTTATGAAAGTATTGTTGTCCAATGCACATGTTTTTATTTTTATTGTTTGCTTACATTAATGACTTTCTGCAAGTGTTGATACCAGTTCAGTAATGGAGTCATCTGCTAGCGGGGGTAGAAATTCTAAATCAAGCGGCCATCGGTGGACGATGGAGGAAGAACGTGCATTAATAAATGGACTAAAGGAACTTGTATCTCGTGGCTGGAAATGCGACAATGGTTTCAGAACGGGCTACACTGCGTTGCTGAAAAAACATATGTCTGATGTTTTCCCAAACACCGACCTTAAAGCAGAACCTCATATATTATCAAAGATTAGCGTGTGGAAAAACAATTATGGTTTAATAACCGGTATGATGGCGACCTCCGGCATTGGTTGGAGTGATACCGAAAACATGGTGACTGTGAGGGAGGAAGACGTATGGATTGAATACCTAAAGGTTTGAGTTTTCGTGTTTCTTTAAGATTTTGATATCCACTGTTGCAGGTGTAGTTTTTCATGTGTTGTGTTGTTTATTTGAAGAGAAAATTTGTTGTACATTAAACTATTGTTTTTTTTTTTATTGTAATAGGTTCAACCAAAAGTTAAAGGAATGCGTTACAAGTCGTGGCCTTATTACGCTGATTGGGTTGAAGTGTTTGGAAAAGATAGGGCAATAGGCCAAGGGGCAATGGGATTTACAAATGCAGTCAATGAAGTATTACGCAACAACACAGAGCCAATACCGGTCCCTACAACCCCGCAACACGTACCACAATATTCATTTGATCCTTTACATGAAAAATTGATGGAGTCATCTTCGGCTCAAGGTGGTGACAATAGTTGTTTGAGTAAGGGAAAGCGCTCCTTGAAAAGAAAACGTGTGGTCGAAGCAGAGGACCAAATTGTATTTATGTTGTCTTCATTCTGTGAAAATGCCAATGAACGTTTTTCAGAATTTTCTAAAGGAGTCGGTTTCCAAAATGCCACAAAAGAACAACGTAAGGCCGTGTATGAGGAGCTACGTTTAATTTCTGGGTTGGTTACCTGCCAAAAAGTGGTTGTCGCTAGATATTCATGCAAAAACAATGATGAGCTCGATCTTTTCTTTAGTATGGACCTTGATGGTAAAATCTCTATGGTGCAACAGATCTTACAAGATTTGTAAGGTCTTCAGGTGGAGTATGCTTCTTTTTGTCTATGGCGTTGTGGGAAATGTACGTCAGTACGCTATTTGTGTTGGGGATGACACTAACTTTTGTGGCTTTTGTATGACATTGATTTGCATTGATGACTTTTGTGGCTTTTGTGTGACATTGTTTTGCATTGCTTATCCGACTGGGTTATTAAGTGTGATATCGTTTTCCATTGTTCATCCATTGTAATAGGACCATTTAAGTTATGTACAATGCACTTAAATCCTTGTATTTTTAAATTTTAGTAGACGTCTTTCATTATACAAATGGTTGTTTTGATGGTTGTATGTCATGGATGGGCTGGTACTTTTTTCAATTTTAGTTGATGTCTTTCTTTGCAAATGTCTGTATGGCACTGCGGTAACTCAGAAAAGCTATATGTAAGTCGTGATTCGTCTTGACCTCCACAATTCTTCGTCAAGTTCACTGCAAAAAAATATTATTTTATAGATTTGAGGCTATAAAATACATGTTATTTTATTAATTGTAGTGGAGGTCTTAATAAAGTTTAAAGGTTGTAATTAGTTAATATTGATAGTTGAAATGCTTATACTTTACAATTAATATAATTGCACTCGTTTTTTATTTAAGATGTAAAAATTAATTTTTTAACTTTTTCTTATACAAACATTCCTAACAATCCAAATTTTAAAATTGTATTAGAAATGTTTTATTTTTATTCATATAATAATGACCCATTAATAATTTATATATAATATTTATTTATATAAAATAGATATGATTAATGAGAAATTTATAATAATTATTTTTTGTTCTTTATAAATAATATTTAGAATATATTATTAGGTCTTTAGCAACTGTATTTTAACTTTTTAAATTAGAATATTTTTAAAAAAAAATATTTTTTATTTCAAGGACGTAGGGTTTAGAATATTTAATTTTTATTTAGAAAATTTATTTTTAATTTTTATAAGATAATGTTGTGTCCAGGTTCAAATTCCCCAAAACGGGTCATCATTGAGAAACAATAAAACCTAATGTGGAATTTTCAATAACTCTTACCTCTCATTTTCGCCGACGGAAGCAAAGAAGCAGAGGGCTTTCAACCCAACTTCAATTTCCAGGTTATTATTAGCCTCCATTAAATTTTACATTCTTGTAATCTTCACCAAGATTGGACTGTAACTTACCATAGTCATTGTAATTAAGGGTTATCTTGGTCGGGTGGTTACTTGTTCAAACTTTTGCTTCATCATACAAGAAAGTTGAATGTTCAACAAACTGCGACCACATCCCGGCGCATACCGTATCCCACTATCCACGTAGTTCTTTATTTTTTCGTATTTTCATAGCCCATCTTCGATATTGTTCGTTGCTCAACTTCAGGTCATTTATATTTTTCACGCATGAGTGTATGTCAAAATTACGCATATGTATATTTATGTGATGTCTTGTATATTTGTCATTTATGTACCATATTGGTGAGTTTATAGT